CTCTCAGAGGTTGATGGAGTACATAACTATTATCATAGGCCAGTTCCTCCTGTGCATTTCCAGCTACTCTTTTGCTGCTGTTCTTTGACTTTATAAGACAAAATCAGACCTGGGTTATCTAAGTTTGATGAAACTAAATTATTATTTTTTATCAAAATGTATTTGTGACAGTAGGCAGAGACCAAAATCTATGTGAGTTTTTTGTTTAGGTCATGATGCCAGTACAAGCTACCGCTGTCAGTTTTAATGTGACAGCCCATGATGTTGGTCAGGTGACCACATATCTGGTTACCAACAGCACAGAGCTCAACAGGTGGGTATCAGTCCAGCGCGAAGAAAATAATTTCCTTCACTGAATGCAATAATTGAATATCTTAAAGTGATCACTGTTTTCTTCAAATTTGGTGTCCAAATCTTATAAACGGAGTCTTGGTGCCAGTGAATCTCCTGTTAAGTTTTTAATCCTCTCCAGACTGTACAAGCTATTACAAAACATTGGTTGAAGCAGCAGAGCACAAACACACTGAAATGTGGTTTCTTTGTCGCTTTTTGTCACGCAAAACGTCTGGATCTCAAAATGGTTATAAGCTAATGGTTGAAAAGATAGAAAGTTGTTAATTCTGCACTACTCAGAGCTAATGATGCTCACGATGAGATGGAATTTTCCTGTTTTTATTGTAAAGCACTTTGGTGTATTGCTGGTGCTATACAAATAAAGTTGTATTGTATTGTATGGATGGAGGGATCCACCAGAGGCCGGCTGATGTCTGCTGTCAGTTTATTTTTTAACTGATTAACTGTCCAGTTTCTTTGTGTCCATAAGCTATATCTTTTTTTCCAGTGTGCCTGTCAGGATCCGCTTCATAGTTGTCCATAGCAATGTCCTGTCCATAATTAGTGAAGTCATTGGTTGGATTTACTTTCTGGCCTGGTCAGTGTCTTTTTATCCACAAGCCTTCGAAAACTGGAGGAGAAAAAGGTAGTTTTTAAACATTTTTATCTGTCCTTATATATTTCTTTCTTATTATTGTTATTATTTTGTAGTTAGACTGACATCTGTCTAAATGGTTTTATGTGTGATTCCCCCCCCCCCATCTTTTTTGTTTGTAATAGTTTTGCATTCGGCTAAAGTAAATCACTACTGGTAGTATGAGGCGATACATCAATACATAAATCAGTGCCATTGCCAGAAGGTTTGTTGTGTCTCCCAGTACAGTTTCAAGAGCATAGAGATTTAAAGAGACAAGCAGCTACTGGACCACAGCAACCTCCCTGAACATGATCCAGTAATCATCGCAGTGGCAGACAGCCAAGAAAGGGTTTCAAATTTTAAAAAGTTAGACAGAACCAGGCCTTGACACGATTTATACCTAACAAGACTGGCTACGGATACAGACTACAGAATGGAGCAAATATTAGCCAGCTTCTTTACATAGATATCAAACTCAATCCAAACCCAAAAAGAATGAAGGTAGTCAGGTATGAGTGGATTGTACTACTAGAAGACAACATTGCAGAAATTGAGGATAGCTGTAAGTACCTTGGAAGGCAAATGAGAACCAGGAAGAGTCCACATGGAAAAGCTGCAACTACCTGCAGAGAATACGTCACGGCCAGAGGAGTAAACTGAATGGAAAGAACAAGAACCAGGCAATTGACACCTACAGCCAACCTAGTTGTCAGAGCTGGCCAAAGGAAGAAATAGAAGCCCCTGACTTCAAGACAGGAAAGCTTTTTACCATGCATGAAGGGTTTCACCCCAAGTCCAGCACCCTGAGACTGTCGGCTAAGCAGAAGGAAGGAAAGAGGACTAGTGAGTGTCAGAACTGCTATTCAGGATAAAACAGCAAAGGGCCATGAGTGCATCAGAAAGATGGCCACAAGTGATCGTGTGCTTGTTAAATACCTCAGGCAGCAGAAACCTGAAAAAGGACCCGAGCAAGAAGAGGAACCAAGAAGAGGAATCATCGTGGAAGGACAGGGCACTGCACAGCATGTACTGTTGGCAGGCAGAAGAAGTCTAAAAATCTAAAAATCCTACCAGTGGCTGGACAAAGCTGGACTGAAAGACAGCACAGAGGCACTGATCATGGCAGCACAGGGTCAAGGTCTAGGCACAATATCAGTAGAGGCAAAGGCCTACAACACCAGGCAAGATCAAGAAAAGATCTAACACAGGGCGGAGGGGAGGGAGAATCTAGAAAATGAATGACATTGATTGCCCTGACTCTTTCTCTCCAGTCTCTTGTGTGTTGGGTTTAATGTGGTGTGAAATTCATAGAATGATTAAAAAAATGAAAGTTACTCAAAATTAAAACTAACATGTTTGTCTTCAGTGTTGTAGGTCTGAACTTTGACTTCCTGGCTCTCAACCTGACGGGTTTCATTGCTTACAGCGTCTTCAATATAGGACTGTTCTGGATACCGTATATAAAGGTAACTCTATCCGCTGAATGGACACTCCATTGTTTATACACATGAAGAATAGGATACCAGCCAGTACCAGTGAGTCTAGAGAAACCTTTGAAAGTTAAATGCTTAATTAGATTTATAACTGTATTTCACATACTGTCTCCTTGAGAACAACTCTACGATCTTTTCACTCAACTGTCTGTGAATTTGAACACATTCCATCCATTTGTGGCATTTCCTGATGATCAGTTGATGTTTTTCATGACTACACTGGACGATCCACCTAGTGGCTGTTGCCTTTGTATAGAATAACTTTAGGTTTTGCATAATACATACTTTTTGTTAAGCTACTGTGTGCTCCTCCTGTAGGAGGAGTTTCTGAAGAGGAACCCTAATGGAATCAACCCTGTGGATGCTAATGATGTTTTCTTCAGTCTCCATGCTGTCCTGCTGTGTTTGGTCTACGTCAGCCAGGCTACTGTGTATGAGGTATGTGTATGTCATTTCATATAGTTAAAGACTTTCTGCTTTAAGACACTTAAAGCAGAGGAGCAGAATAATTTAATGTAATGACTTTATTGTTAAGACTGGTGAATACGACATGACTCTCAAAATCACTTTTATCACAGAGTCAGTTTGTTTGGCAGGATGTCTCAGACTCAGGACGGGTGTATAATGCTGTGTGCCATTTTTCTTACAGAGGGGTGGACAGAGAGTCTCTCGGACGGCCTTGGTTTTATTGCTGATTGGCTGGATGTTTGCTTTGATCAGCTTATTTGTTGCTGTAGCCAAAGCAATCACCTGGCTGGACTACCTTTACTATTTCTCTTACATTAAACTAGCAGTGACTCTTATCAAATATGTACCACAGGTAAGACTCAGACACAAACTGGACTTGCGCATTAAATAATGTATACTAGACTGAAACCATATTAAAAAAAAAATCTTGCGTTGTTGGATGTTCCATCGATTTAATGTGTTTTGATGCCCACCATCACTGCCCACCAGTGGTGCATCTGTCTACATTTCTTTTTCAGCAACAGTGCCGTATGTTCCAGAGATTTATTACAGTAAACACATTTTAGAAATACAATGTTCACATCTGACCTGATTAATACACTGCTAAAAAAACACTTTTTAATTAGATATGTGTCATTAAGTTGGGATATTGATCTTGGTCAGTTAATTAGGAGGGGGTTATTAAAGAGTTTTAGCTGCTTTGATGTTAATGAAATTAACTATAGGTGCACTAGAGGGGCACCTTCTCTCCTCTCTGATGATTTTTGAGCAGTGTACAAGTCTTAAATGTTCTATGCCATATTTATTTTTATCAGCAGTGAATACAGTTGATGGCTTTCCTGTGTTTCCAGGCATACATGAACTACAAAAGACAGAGTACTGAAGGGTGGAGCATTGGCAATGTGTTACTGGACTTCACTGGTGGATTCTTCAGCATTCTCCAGATGATTCTGCAGTCTTATAACAATGGTAATTACAGTAGTTTGCTTACTGTACATACAAAAATATTTAATGACACCTATGGAATAAGCAGGATTTCTGTAGTGACTGAAAGAAAGGAAATGTTGACATGAAAAGTACAACTGTGTTTACTGTGCTTATTTTACCCCTCAGCTGTAAGAAGCTGATGGGTTATTGTTGTCACCTCGCCCTGTGGGCGGCATGGAGACGTGATAACTTGAGAAGAATTAGGATTTTTAAATGGATAAAATAGGTGCATCTACTTTACTACCTGTACTGTTGATTTGCACTGGAGCATTTTGACTGTATCTCGTATTAATTTTGATCCTCAGATGAGTGGAAGCTGGTGTTTGGTGATCCTACAAAGTTTGGTCTGGGTCTGTTCTCCATTGTGTTTGACATCCTTTTCATCACTCAGCACTATGTTCTCTACAGACGATCGTCACAGTATGAACCACTCGTGAACCAACAAGGAGACTGATACTCGCTGGAGTGACCCAAAGAAGCACATTTATGTACAGCTTTAAAGAGAACTTATGGTTGTTGTTTGACTTTCATTGTGAAAAGAATCTGGCCAGTTTCTTCAAAGCAGGGATTTACATGTCTCATTAACACCAACTCACGTATGAATATTAAGAAAAGGGAAGACAAATTAAGTGAAAAAGCAACTGTAACACTAACTGTTTGACAAAAAATGTTATTATCCATGTCATTCGTAATTAAGGTGGTAAACCTGTTATAAACCAGGTTACCATAGCGAGTCTGTTTCTCTTCAACTTTCACTTCTAATCATTTTCTGACAACTACTGTCTTGAATCAAGACTTTACTGCAAATGAAACTGTGATAACTAAGCAATTTGCTGTAACACAGACAAGAGATCTTTAGGTGTGATAAGTTACTAATGAGGATTAATAAAGTGCTATTTCATTGTACTCTTTGTCTTGTAAGCTGCCATGGAAGTCTTGTTGTTTCAGTGTACTCCAGATTATGTGCTACAAACTCTCTTCGATAAATTACGCAAATAACCACCACATGTGAATATTTGATTCTTAATGCAGAGTGCTGCAGTCCAAAATTGCCAGAAAAAAACCCCCCAGATGCCATGACCTTGATATTCTTTTACAGTATCATTAGACTTTTATTTTCTATTTACAACCAATTTGTTATATATAAATAAATTACATAATTTCCAGAAAAGATTTCAATTCAAGTGCATACAAGAGCTAAATGACAATATGTTGAGGTTAAACACAGTTTGACTCACTGGTCCAGAAACAAAATACAACGTGTGCATAATGAAATTGTAGACTGTTAGAGAATGGGCAGCAAATGCGGTTCAGTCGTCAGTGTCCATTTTGCCTTTGAAAGGACTGCAGACTGAATAAAAAGATGTACAATTCAGGATGTAAACAGCTCTTCTTACAGTATTGCAAAAACTGACGGAACAAATGCTCAGTCTATCCAGGAATTTAATGTCAATGGTCCTTGAATGGAGTTAAAACACACAGCACGGTCTAGAAGTGCCTGAAGACCATCGGGCTCGTTTTAGGCATTGCTGATGACTATAAGAGCAGGAGTAGCCGTCTGCTGACTTGTCTCACACATGATGCTCTGCTCAGATGGCTTGGCAAACACTCTGGGAGTGTTGAGATTGTAGACTCCCGCCTGAAGGAAACAGGCTTGCAGTGTTAGACACAGTACCTCCTTGGGCTTTAGCTGCAGCTTGTACTGGGACTGACCCACCCAAGCAAATGAGCTGTGGACCTCCAGGGACTCTGGGCTGGAAGAGACAAATAGAAGTCTTATGTTAAAAAAACAAGTACTTTTGAAAAAGAATGCTATATTTAAGAGGTCACAACTTATCACCTGATATTAGAAAAATGTGTTATTTTGACCTCATGTTAGAAACCATCTTCACAATCTGCCTCAAGTATCTGTGGTTATTGTTGGATCAACTAACCAAAGAAATGCTTGCTCTTTGACTCAATTTATTCACACAGTTCAATGGAGTCTTGATGGTCTACTTTTTCAGTTATTGAGGCCTGTGTACTGTTGGGAACACTAAGCTTTATATCCTGGTCCTAATGTATGTATCACTGCAATTTAATTGAGATGCTCTATAGAGAGTTGACTTCCTTCAGTTGTCTACTAGTGGATACTCAACCAGGATGCATCACAGGATAATTAGGAGCTACAACAAAGGGTTTGAATACTTCTGTGGCTCAGATTTTCTACCATTTTTCCCATGGTCATTCTGAGTTCAATCTAAACTTGAGCTAAATTTTAATTATAAAAAAATATATCTTGAAGTAATATGAAAAATAAACACTTTCTCAAGCCACTGTATGTATCAGCTGCATTTTATACTGAAAAAGAGCAAAATGACCAAAGACATAATCGCTCTACAGTATTCTGTAACTTTAAGGGACTTTTGTATTAAAAAATAAATCACCTTGATTTTGTCATTATTATGGCCATTTATTGCATATACAGATACCAGACTGCAAAAAAATGAGTTGTGGGTGTGAAAACATGAGTTTTTACAACTCCCTCAGTCTGTCTTGGTTGCTGCTACATACACTACATGCGCCCACACTTAGTGGCTTCAACATCTATAAGCCACTTTGTACATTTAACAGTTTAGACATGTATTGTATGTATACATCTCTAAGCATTCCTTCTGTACAGACATGCAACGTCAGTCTTATTTAAGTGAAATCCGCTGTCCACAACAGTTTTGTCTCCATTTTCCTTACAAAGTAATCATGTGAGGAAGGAACACATCTTGTTTTAAGAAACTTACCTGGTGCTTTTGTGTCTTAAGTCAATGATGACATCTACCTGAGCCAAGGAGCAGTTGGACAGAGTCAGAGTAACTGGCACCAAACAGAGACTAGGCACAAAGAGAAAAGCAGCTTTTTATTAACAGAACAAATATTTGCGAATAGGATAAATTCTAAACAAAACATACAGGTCTACAAACAGAGGATGGGATGGATAAATGTAATAATGATAAATACTGCCAAACATGGTAACATCTTATTATCCTGTCTTAGGATGGTGCTGAAAAACTGCTCTGTGCATGTGGTTATTATAAGCTGTACAACTAATTTTTTAAACTGCAAGACATTATTTCTAAAGAGCTTCTCTTATCAGTTTATTTTTAAAAATCCAAACAAAGCCAAACAGTCCCAAATGATTGGCCACCATCATATCTTAAAAACCCATAGTATCATATATTTGATCCTGAGTTTGGATATGTGAGACAGAATAAAATCCAAGCTCTACTATAGGTAAGGCTTAATGCTCCTTTGTGATAATGCTTTATGTGCTATATCAAAACACACTGAACCTTCTCTTATGTTGCTATAGACAAAGGCTGTTTAAGGAGCTTCCACTGAATATGTACACTGACTTCTTTTGACTCTCCATATGTTTAATTGTGTAACCATCACTGCATACCATTAACCTTTAAATCGTCTTTCTCCTATATTGTTATTTGTCCTCTCTCTTCTTTCTACCTCGCTCTCTAACCAGCTAGCAGCCTTTTGCTTTACTAATTACTTTGCACAGTCTTCTTTCTATTTTCCAGCAGTAAAGATGACAAAATAATCCTAAACTTGAGAAAATAAGGAGATCACATAAAGTTTGAATGTTTTTCCTCATTTGGTGGTTCTTAATGGTTTTGGTTACAATAAAGACTTGCAAAAAGGAAATCTGTGTTGGTCTATGTGCCTAAGGGTCTTATGCAGATCTTCAAAAGAATTAATTTCCAACACAGTGCCAAACAGAATTGATGAGATAATTTAGTTCAGCCTGGAGTAACTTCTTGAGTTTAACTTAACTCTATGGATCCCAGGGGGCTTTCCTAGTGTGAAAGCTTTTTTTAAAGTGAGAGCTATACATTAACCTTTGCTCGTGCTCTGTCCCATCTCTTATCTGAAGAATACGTTTCTAAATCTGATGGAACATTTCAGAGAGATGCATTTGTTTAATAACCTTTTGTAATCACTTGGACCAAACATTGTGTTAGGAAAAACAACACGCCAGGTGCCTCACCTTTCCTGCACAAATGGGTGTGTGCAGGTTTCAGGGTAGTGTAGATTGGTTTTGATGAGCTGACAAAACTCTGCAGAGGGAAGAATGACTGGAGGAGGCAGGTCTGATTTAAACTTGAGGAGCACCATCTCCTGAGCTTCCTGAAGATGCACACACATACACTATTATAGAAGACTTGCTCTAACAAATAAAAGTAATCATACCAGCATTATATAAAATATTTAAGGTAAAACCCTCCTGAAATAAAACATTATATTAGCTTTTTGGCTTAAAGTTCTGCATTATTTCTAAGAATAATCAAAAGTGGGATTAAGTTTAGGTTTCTTATGCTGGTTTTATTTTAGAAAAATTGTTCGATATTTTGGAAGCTAGATTAAAAACAAAGAGCTTGCTGTACCTCTTTAGCAGTCAAAGAACTGGCTTCTTTGCCGATGGTCTGCAGTGCAACATGGAGTTGGCCCTCCAGGATAAGTTGTTTGTTGTCCTCAACCACATAAGCCTAGTTAGACAGACACGCACAAAATGGTTATTGTCCATCAAAATATCCATCCAGGGTTAATATGATCTAATGTATATTGCACATTTAAGAATGATCCCTTAATGAGTATGAGCATGCATGATTTCATTGGTGGTGGTGACTTGTATTTTTATTTTTGGTGTATTGTTCTTTTATCTTATTTTCTGGCAATCAATCATTGTAACCACAGCGCCACTCACTGGTGGAAGGAAAAAAACACTAAGTGTGAGAAAGAGACTGTGGTGTGGATAGCAGAAACCAGCGTGACAGAGATTAAACTGCCAAGCAGGTTGAGAACAGATGCATTTTTATTATAAATCTTGTGTCCAACTCCGGCCTTTATGGTTAAAATCTATTCTGATTACTTATGAATGAGGATTTGACCTGATTTTTGTTTGTTTTAGCCGAATGGACATCTTTGCTCTGTGAACCTGTAAAACTGAGATTGTGAAACCGTGATAGCGAGCCACCCCTAAGATAACTATTCCTGCTGGATCAACTTATATTCAAGAGATAAGGACACTTCACATTTCTAAACTGTGGTAAGACCACACCATCATTTCTGTCACTGCTACGCACAGAGGACTTAACTGTATTTTTGTTTTCTTCCCTTATTTATTTTTATGCTGCAATTTGGATGAACAGATTAATTTGCATTAGAAATTCTCTCTATATATTTTTGTGTGTTTTATATCCCATAAAAAAGCCAGCATTTAAACATTTACAGTAGTCTGTATTTTAGGATCTCCAGTTATAAACTGCTCTTGCAAACCAAGACTCTGGTGCTCGCTATCTGTAAATATCTACAGTGCTACACATATCTATCCATCCATGTATCACTAAACTCTGTTACCTTCCAAATGACAATTATGTTGAGGTCCAGCTCACTGCACTCCTTGGCAATATCTGTCAGGTCTGAACTTCTGTTCTCAGTGGGTACAGAGCCTTGACTCTTGCTGACTGATGATATCCTGGATGATGCTCCGTATGCTTCCTGAGTTTCTAACGTCAGGCAGCGGAAGAAGAAATCCCCACATGGTGTGGTAGAACTGATGATCTGGACAAAGACAGCACCATTCACTCTCTATCACTTAGACCCTCTCTCCATGCAGGCCAGTCAGTTAAAGGAAATTTAAACATCGGCACAGCTGAACTTCGCCAACGTTCCTCCTTAACTCAATGATACATTAATAGATGACTGTTAGACAGCATATTGAATTAAAAAATCCTGCTACATCACTGTTTTCTTGACAATACATTTTCAATTCCACAAAATTCAGAAAGAGTTACTGTTTGTTAAAAAGCTTACATAGAAGTAGGCAAACATTTCTAAATGGTTCCTTCTAGCTTTAAATTTGTTTAACAACAAACACCATAGAGGCAAAAATGTCTTGATGCAAGTAAATCCCAAAAAGTTGATTCTGTTTATCTGGATGTCGAGTTTTCAGTGGGAGAAACTTTTCGTCAGTCACCCAAGTGACTTCTTCAGTCTCAGCTGACTGCAGGTCTCCCCAACCTTATGAACAGTAAATCTGCACAATAACTGAAACTAGCCTACTGAGTAAATGTAAATATCCCAGCTGGACATTTGTCAAAGCTGGGAAGGCTCCTAAAGAAAGCTCCAGGTGATCAAGGAGAGAAGGACAACTGCTGCCTAAGTGAA